GCTTACTCCTGTAACTTTTAAACGTTTGCATTTTTATTCAGGTATAACAACCAAGTTTTTCCTCTTTGAAAATCGATAGAGAAAAGTTGAATGTACAAAGCGCTTGAAAGTGTTTTCTACTTACATTCCCCGTAAAAACGAGACTTTTAGCGGGAAATTTTTCTCAAAAATATATCGTTTCAAATTAACGAGTCCTTTTTTTCCCCTTTGATTGTCACAAAGAGAATTTTTCTCACTCTCGGATTATCGATTGTTATATAGGGTGTTCCAAAATTAATAGTAAACCTGTTAATGACCTGGGATTATTTGGAGATGATTTTTTCTCAACGAAAATGTCGAAATATTTTGTGCATGTTCCAATTTTTGCCATTATGTATCTTCGCAATTAAACATTAAATTAAAATTCTATTAATTAAATAAACTCTACATGAAATTAATAAAGAAATGTAATTTTGTTAATATTTTATTTCGACAAGACTTTGTTTGCGAAAAACACCTTCTTATAACTCGAAAATTATTGATGCCTCGACATTTTCGTTCAAGAAAAATCGTTTCTATATCATTCCAGGAATCTGCCATTAACAGGTTTACTGCTAGTTCCGGGACACCCTGTGTACATACATACATATATATATTCTTATAATACGAATCAGCTGTCGTTAGTCGCGAAGCGTAATTGCTCGGATGTGGAAACGAGAGGAAATCAAGAGACTGCGTAAAAGGGGCTGCTGGTGACAGTTGGACGATGTTCTCTGCCGATGTTTTTTTTCTTTTTCCCTCGAAAGAGACACGTTCGACAATCCCAAGTCTGACTGTGTATCTATCGACAGTCGCTTACGAAAATCGCCGCGGGTGTTTCGTTTTAATTAAATCAGCAATCCCGCCGCTCTCTATTCCCCCTTTTTCCGCATGTATATATCACATAAGTATTCTGTCATAAACTAATTAAAAAGCTTTGCAACAGTATATATGCATGGTGCGTATACACTACAACGTACAAAAATAATTTCCGGAAAAGCGTAACTACGAAATATTTTATATAATTATTAATGAAATGGCTCGCGCGCTCTCTCTCTCTCTCCCTCCTTTTCTTTCTCTCTCCTCATTGAAATTTTCAACGCGAAAAGTCTGCGATTCATTACATTTATTTCGTTAAATTTTAAACTTTTAATTTTAAACGACCGCGAAACTCTGTTGGATTATTTACGTCGGCGCGTGCAATATTTGTTCGATATCAATTAGTGTTAATTGGAATTACGATTATGAAATTACCACGATTCGGGTGATATTATTTCTGATCAATAAAATTTCCCACTATACCCTCTCTCTTTTTCTCTTTTGGCGTGTGCTTTAACATGTCGCTGTTAGAAAAAAAAAAAGAAAAACAAATTTTCCCTTGCGTGAGATAAAAGTAAATTGTAATCCGCGTGTAATCCAAAATTTATCGAGACAATACGGGGCCGCTTTTGCCAATTCGGTTTTAAATGAAATTTCCGATAAATAATATAGATGGGTGTTGAATTTGTTTCGATTGTTCTTGGGAAGATTTCACTGCATCCACAACACACACATACATAACATACATATGCGCGCGCATTGGCGAAAATAGCGTGAAAGCTCGCGGGCGATAAATCTTGGGCGAAATGCATTCGATCAGGATATGACTGGCAGAGCTGGGCTAGAATCACTGGGCAAAAACTGACCGTGTGATGTTTGCACACGCGTGTGTCGCGTGCACATATTCACGCGCGTGCCACCGGACGAAAATTCAGTCAAATTAACTATAAATCATAGGAGAGCCCCGGGAGAGATCGACACCGACGATTATTTATAGTTTGCGCGGACACGCGAATGGTTTTTCGGCTATTACTCCGGGACCAAATCGGAAATACCCCGGCAGAAGCGATCATAAACGCATAGACGGGTCATCGGGATCGCTATTTTTCTCCCTTCCCTCGAATATATACATGTATATACGAAAATCGCGGAAATTGGATAGAGCGCTAATTGGGCGCAATGTAATAAAACCGTTTAAATAATGATCCTTTACGAAGTTAGTTGATTTTGGGAACATCAATTATTTTCGAACGTTGTGATTCTATCCCATCTCCAGATGATTTACAGAGTTAAACTTTATGAGTGTTATGCTGCCGAATATATATACATGCATGGTAAGCTTTAGACAAGCGAAAAGGATAAAATTTACTCTTTCGCCGAAATGTAACTATAAAACTCAATAAAAAATTAATACTCTTCTCTCGGTATTTCATGATTGATGGCTTATAGGATCGATCGTATAATTTCCATTATGTAATTACAACCGATATTTCCCTTCGGTTTTATGCTCGGACACGTTTGAAGAGACAATATATATAAAAAAAACGCGAACATATATTTACATACGTCCAACACAGATTTATTCGAATTACAGAGTCGCGTTGGTAATATTTGAAAAATATATTCGGACGGAAATGAGTTCCATTATTATCGCGCGCGATTGAAATATAATTCGCTTTCTGCTTATCTCATCCGACTCGTCAGATTGTTCGAAGGGATCGTATAGGAAGAGGGAGGGTCCAGACTTATTCAGACGATAGAAATGATAAACGAATCAATGCGCGGACGCATTTCTCGGCGCATTTATCTCTTGGGCGGGAAACGAATAGATACATTTCAGCGCGAATCAAATCGAATTTCGTTAATCCGCACGTGATGTCGTTCTTTCACGTGATAATGATAGCACTTTTTAACAAACAGTATGACTTTTATAACACCGAAACCGGACTAATTTTGTTTCTTATAGTTATTTTTGGGTGCTTATAATACGAATCAGGCTTCCAAATTGCTCCATCACGTCACAATTTTGAGAAATTTTTAATTAAAGTTGCAAAAAATTGGATTATTTTCACGAATTTCGTCATATTATAATAACTACAATGTGATGTGCTAGAGAAATTTTATTGCAATCAAAATAATGTATGTTATTAAGACTTTTAACCCTCTTTTAATTCCATTTTAGAGCTGTAGCTATGTAATATAATAAAGAGTTTGTGAAAAGTCCTTTTTGCAAAACTTTAATTAAAAACAAAATAAAAAGTTAGTTGCCGGTACGGAAATTAAAATAAGATCGATATTCTTCAAACGACCAAACTGACTAATGATGGAAAAATTACTTTATAATGAAATCACATTGTCTTTGTTATGATTATGTTCTGTTATGTTATGTCTATTAATGTATTTAAAAACCAGATTCGTATTCAGCATCCAAAAAATTAAAAGAAACGACTAGTCTCGTTTTGATTAATTTTTTTTTATTAAACACTGTAATAGATAATAATCCGAATGGCAGAAAGAGAATCGGCCCATCCTACATCCGGGAATTTCCCCTTTCGCTTCATTTCTCTCTTTCTCTCCCTTTCATTCATTTCCCGCCAGAGCGAGCCATTAATTTCCATTAACCATCGACAAAACTCGCCCATCGATACTCGCTGACAACTCCAGAGGAAGTCATTGGGATGGGGACAACAGAAGTTAAATGATACGCGCGTACGAAGGATGCATATATGTATTCTCGATCATGTGTGTATGTGACTTCTGCCTTTGTCGCGCATATTTTTTTTATATCCGGCTCGTATATAAACCAATAATTTCCCGGTAAAAGCTGCTCCTACGGGGAAACCACGGGAAATATGAGCGCAGGTTACAGGAGATATGGGAGAAGAGGAGAGAACAATCCTCTCTCTCTCTCTCTCTCGCGAGAGAGAGCTTCGACTTCGCCGTTTGTATTTGCCCCATTCAATATTGCACGTGTATTATTGCATCGATACCGATCTATCGCGGCGATTGTGTTGCGCACGCACGTGTGATTGACGTATAAAAAAGTGTTTGAGCGAAAAATTCCATATTTTACGAAGGTAAATATCATGCATAGCGACCGCGTTTTTGTCCGATACACTTGCGTAATTGTACGCAAATTTTTTTCAGTGTAAAAATTACTGGATTTTATAGCAGAAGAAGCTAAATCCTATACAATTTATGTGTCCTTCGTCTTTCAATATTGTATGCATATGTGCGCTAAACCTTATTGAAATTAATGCGTGTTGTTTCTTCACCTGCAAGCTTTACTTCCGGACGGAAGTTAGCTAAATCCTTCGCGTCCTCTTTCTCCTTGTGTTCCCTTCCGCAAATCCCCTGTAATCTAGTACGTATAACTAGTTGGAAACTTGGCGAATGCAGAATCACTACTAATTCTGGGATACAAACTTATTTGGCGGTCATTCTCTATTAGCTGCTCTGATATTTTAGACCTCCATCTCGGGACATCGTACGGTTTATTAAACGTCATTAACAAATTAAAAGCGCATGAATAATCTGTTTTAGAAATATTTAATAATTCAATTTTTTAACTACAGGAGAATATTTTCGTCTTGCTCGTTACTTACCTCGGAATCAGAGATCGTAATCTTCGAAAATGGAAATAGGATTAAATATAATTCCTCTTTATCGAGAAACAATAATATAATATATAAAAAGGAGACGTGGTTACAAAAAAATTATGAAAAATAAATAGAATTAGTGATTTTCTGAAAATTTAGCGAACGTTGCAATTAGAAAAACTAATTTTACTCTTTATATATACGAAAGTAAATAATTGCATAAATATATAATAAATACCTTCGATGCGATCGCAAAACAAAAATAGATATAAGACTGAGTTAGGAATTCAGTGATGACGTGATTCATCGGCTGATGCGTCATTCATCGATGTATCTGTCACGAGCTCCGATGGCCTTTAGTATTCTGACGGCAATTTGGATGCATCATCCCTGGCGGAACGCTGTATCATAACCGCCGGCGAAGGGTTAAAGGGAGCTTATTACTTTACGAGTCCCCGAGCTGGCGCATGCGCGCTTATGTCGGTACAAATACACGTCGTGTATTCGCTCGCGCGTTCCGGGAACAACATTGGGAATTAACGGGGATAAACATAGAAACTTTCCTTTTTTTTTAAAGAAAAATAACAGACTTTATTGCGAATGTATTTAAGTTATCTTACACTTTCTTAAGCTCGACAGCTTGATGATATTTACAATGATTTTCTTACTTAATTATACATATTTATGTATATATATTACAAATAAATATATCTCTCCGTTCAGGCATGCCGTGGTCTCTCTTCTCTCGAATGAAACGATTACATGATTCTCGGGAGCTCAGAAAAAAAAATAAAAACGCATATCGAAACATATGTTTTTGACGTTTGTTTTAACACGTTGCGCCGTTTAAAAGCAAATTCTATGATATGATAAATTGTAAATGATGTCGACATCGAGTTCGCATTATAACACATGCAGAGCGAGCGAAGCTATCGATAAACGTATCCCCCTGTTGAACGGAATTTAATTTCTAGATTATTAATCTGCATTATATTCCGAATGGCGCATAGGATAATAGAGAAATATCGATAATTGCATGAATGGGACACGTTTGATTAAATACCGTGACTCTTTCTCTCTCTCATATGGGTTTTATAATAACTCATAAGCTAAACAATTGGTTACAATTAATTGTTTACGACACATACTCGTAACATCATAAAAATTTTCAATTAATCGAATTATCTTCAATGTCGCAAAATAATTATTACAGAGCAACGAGCATAAAAGCTCGTTCAAACGCTGACTTTTAATAACATTAATGAATAAATGACCGCAAAAAATTAATAATAATATATCGCCTAATATAAAAACTTGTTAAAAAAATACAAATAATGTAACGCGCGAATATTAAAAAACTGATATACTTTGGCCGTATCGAGAATCGCATAATGCCTTAGTGATGAATGCTAGGAGAATCGATACGTGACAATTTGTTCAATTTCTTTCCCTTTCTCACACACACACATCTATACCCACCCACCTACACACACACACACACAATTCTTTCTCCCATTTCGCCTACTTTACAATTAAGACACAACAATGCAAGTGCTAATACTATCATTTGTGCAGCGAGTACGATCGCGCTCGTGTGTACGTGTGTGTGTGTTACGTGTGTCTCTATGCAGGTAACACGTAACAACACTCTACGTCGGATGCCAGAAAAATATAGACTCGTTCATATCCGGTTCTTTAGCCGGGATCCCGTCTGACATGTTGCATTTGTACAAACGGGCATGCCAAACAAACATGTCAAACGCACCGCAAGTGGCCCGCAACGCGGCTCTGCAACCTTTTCACCTCCCTTTCTCTATTTTCAGGTTCCGTTTATGAACAGCGCTTCGCAAATATTATAAATATTTTCCACGCGTGTTATTTACGTGTTCCGTGAAATTTGTTTAAAAAAAAAAAAAATATATATATGAACGATCGTTCTAATTATCTCGGTTATTTTTAATTAGACGAAATTCCCCCATAATTCTAGCGTGCGTTCATTAGTGCGTCCTGGTGAGAAAGAGAGATTCTTTTTTCTCCCTTTTTTTTAGTAAACTACTTTTTTTTTAAACTGCATTGTGTGACTCTCTGAAATTAAAAAGCGCTGTTGAAAAACTTTCGAATCTCGTTCATCGCGCGCAAAATGTAACCAAAAAATGTAACGAGTGACCCCCGAATGGCATCAGAGTGCGAGAAAGTATTCGTGTAATACGTGGAGAGAAAATTGTTTTGACGTACCTATATAAAGAGAGCTCTTCGAGAGCTACTCCGTGAAAAACCTTATCGGCTCGCTACCTTGTTGCGGAGAGGACGAATAGTTAGAACGGGACCTTCTCCTGGACAAAGTCGCGATAATTTTACTACTTCTTGAACTTTTCGACAAAGTCGAAGACGCTCACTGGGTGCTCACAGCGATCCCCCGAATACTTTTGACGAAACACGCTCGCGTTTCTCTCTCGCGCAAAGGAACGTACAGTGATTTCATCCGCCGTTCTTTGAACGAGCACGGAAATTCTTTGCTCTACTTAGATTCTTCTTCGGCGATCTCTCTCTCTCTCACTCGAGCAAGTTGCGCGCGAATCGATGGATCGCGATTATTCGATGAAATTGATTTCAGAGCGACGACGATAGCTCGTTCGTTCGTTCCGCACGAGCGCCCTTTTCCGAAATCGAAGCGGAAACGCGCCGGAAAGACACGTTTGCCTTTTCTTCTCTCGTCTCGCTATAAATCTTTAACCCTTCCACTCCCACCGCTTCCTACATCGTCGTCGCCCTTTTTCTCCAACCATCTGGATCGCGGAACTTCCGACTTGTCGCGTCAGGACTCGCGAGTGACAATTAAGAGACAGGATATCCCTCTCGCAAAGGATCTCGCCGGCTAATAAAGAGTATTCTTATATATATATATATTTCATTTTCATCTCGTCGCGATTTTTCTTTCGCGTAAAGGAAAAAGAAAACAAATAAAAAGATCGAGTCAGTCTTGCGTGACGGTGCCGTTGTACCGACTTGGCGGTGAGAGAATCGATCGATCGAGACGACTCTCTCCCACCGGGAGACAACACGCGGGATCTATTTTATTATATCGTTCGACTCGCGACAATTTTCCACCCGCGCGATCTCCTCTTCCGGTTGCTCCACCATCTTCTTCTTGTAGGACGTCCTCCCTCTCTTTCTTTCTCCTTAGCTGCTCTTAATACTGATCTCATCGTTGCTTACTTTCGTAATCGTAATTATCGCCATCCTCTTGCAATACCATCTCGCAAATGAAAAACATATTCTCTTTGAGGGAGGAAACGCGCTCACTCTCTCTCTATCTCTTCTTTCCTCGGCATATATTTTCGCCTTTTCTTTCCTTCGGCCTTTCCGGAATACCTTTCTCCCGCTGCGTCCTCCTTCGGCCATTCTTCGAGCACTCTCTTCGGAAAATAAGGAATATATTCTCTCTGAAGCAAAGCACGATAAAAGTCGAATGGCTCTTCCCTCTTCATCCCTCGGCCGTTCTTCTCGCTTGATTCCCCATCCCTTGCCGCGCCTTCCCATCCTCTATCTCTCGAAGGTAAAAAGTGATCCTGGCCGGAGCCAATTATGTGAAGTATCTCATAAGGAGAATAATCGTCAGCGCCATAATGGCAGAAAGATTTGGCGTCGAGCTACCACTGAGCATAGCACACTTCTCCTGCGTGTAGGGCGCGCAGTGTGCCTGTAACAAACAAGACGAGCGATTCGCCCTTCCTTTAGAACCCGGTCGGCCTCGTTATCGACTTTACTACTAGTAGCTAAGATCGTTCCGTTCGCTATCTATATATATATATATATATATATTTATTTGCGTTCCTCTTCTCTTTAGTTTCTTTTTTTCTACTTGATCTTGCCTTTCAGGTATCTCTAGACTCTTTCTTTTCAAAAATTAAGAAGCAATGGCGAAAGATTTCAAGTAGCACAACTTCTTATTCCGACTCAAATAATAAACTAATAATAATGTTGAGCGATGTGAGTGAAAATATAGAATTTACATTAGATATGAGAGAAATTGCTTGCTTCTCAATTTTTGCAGTAAGTGCCAGTGAAAATTAATGAAAAAATATATAATAATAAAAAGTATTAAAATTTAGTAAATTGGAACATGAGTTACCTTAAAATTTTATCGAAGAAAAAAAGTCAAATTTAAAATCGTATATATCCGATATTGTAATAGCGAAGAAAATTAGGAACGGAACAATTAATCCAAGTATACTCGAGACATACTTTTAGCGTCAATAATAAATACAAGATTGATGTAATACTCACTTTTAGCAGAGAGGTTGACATTCTGTCGAGGAAATCCTTTGTGAATCGCGCTGTATCGTCGCCACACTGACGGCGGACTGTATGATGAGAACATTCCAAGTATTCCGTGAAGGCACTGCAAACACAAACAAATATCCCAAACTCTATTGAGAATCCTCTTTTTGAATGTTCAAATTGGATAAAACATACGGTTACCAATTGCGTTTGCAAAATGCTAGCGCAAATGCAATAATTTGAAGTACAAATACCGCATAGAAATCATGTTATTGTTTCAAAATTATCGTAAAATTGCAGAATAGAAAAATATAAAAGGACAATACGTTTAAAAAAAAATTTTTCAACTTTTCGCACAAAATACATTTCTTTCGAATTGTCCGTTTTTGCGTTGATCGGAGTGACCTTTTTCTCTATCTTTGCAAAGGGAACGTCCACGATAGCTTAAAATTGGATCTTTGCGGAGAGACAAAATGACGCGAGAAATGTGTTTTTGCAGATCTGTTATCCACTTTCTCGGGGTCAGCATTGAGTCACTACTTACATCTCCTCCTATCCTTTTTCCCCATCCTATCCCTAGTTCTAACCCTTTCCGCGAGAGATGCGCAAGTTCAAAAGCTGCAGTAGACCGTGGCAGAGATACGCTAATGACATTACGTCCCTTCTTCGTTGTATGTGTGTGTGTACAGGCATCAGCGTGAAACTTCCGACCTAAAGGACTGATTACACTCTTTTTGCGCGAGTCCTTTGAGCGACGCCCGTCGTTATTAATGCAGTTGTTTCGCCCGGCGAGCTCTTAAGTGTTAAATTATCGCAGTCGAGAGGATTTTGACATCCTTTTACTCTAATGCGAAAACGTCGGGATTTCGAGTATTGCTTAATAAACCCATTTGTTCGTATTTCGTGCTTTACTCCGCCAAGATCCTTCGCGTCGCAACTTAATTCGATTTCTCCTTACCCGATTTGATATCGGAAGAGGGTTGATAATGTAATGATAATAACGGTATTATATTTGGCAAAGATCCGCCATTGTGTTCTCGAAACGCGAGAATATGAAGCGTATTGAGAATGCAATCAATATAGCGCATGTGTTTTTTTTTTTTTGCACGCTGTACACCTTGAATCAATTTCCTTAAATTATTGACATAATTGCAAATTAATTATCCTGGAAAAGCCTACCAATTGTAAAGTCCAGAAACTTTAATCGGACAATCTAGTTTACGATTTTATGATCGCGAGAATGATTTGTTATTATCGAGTCTCAATTATTCCCTCTTTTAAACAAATATTATATTTAAATAAATATGTCCGGTTGAAATACATTTTTGCATGAATATGTTCTGTAATAAAGATTTAGTGAAACTATTTCGCTCTATTTGCATGACGGAAAAATTGATAATCCGTAAGGACGTAATAAAATTCAGATAAAATACTCGTGATAGAATCTAACATTTTGAAAAGTGACTAGGTCAAATTGACTCGGGCTTTGAGTTCCAAGCTTTACCTCCGCGTTGCCAAGCTAACAAACTTTCCCGGATAAGCAATGGACCGTAAACGCATCCCTGTTTATACAAAGATGTGTAAATTTCGATTAAATGTGTATACCGATTTTACATATAAATTTTATTAGTGTCATTTAATTTTAATAATCGCAATTAAAACAAAATCCCTCCGAAAAGATGTGCAATTATATACATTTTGCCATACTTTGATAATCACGTATCTTGTTTTTTAATCAACTACATTTATATCCCAAGTCATTATATCCCAAGATAGCACTGACTTATCAATATATCAATGTGCTATTTGGTATATAATTACAATATAACTACAATGTAATATATGTTATACATTTTTGGTTGATCTTGTCAACTCATTAATATAATTAATCGATATGATAAATGTGACGAATACTTATATATACGTAAAAAAAAATTTGTTGGCTCACCAGCAGAGGGACTTGAGATCTTCTTGCCTTCCCATCGTGCGATTCGAAGCCTTTTCCATCTCCAGCGTAGTCTTCTGATACGTTTTGTAACACATCTCGTACTCGGCCTTGACTTTTTGCATGCACGGGGCGTGTTTCAAGAATTCTGCAAACAGAAAATTTTATTTCCCTCTATCGGACGACTGCGTATTGGCCGGGAATATGCGGGAATCGATAATGAAATTCCGCGGTCAATCAGGCCACGACTCTCTTTCTGTTTCTCTCTTTGCGTCGGGGAAATGTATAATCTAATAATATCAAAAATAAAGAACTACAATTACGTACGATTAACTAACTTCGACAAATCGCGACCTCACAATTTATAACAATATAATTGCGAATAATAGAATCACATATTTCACTTGAAAGAAAAAAATAAAGCGTATAATTCGATCGCTACGCCTAGATTAAAAGTCAAAATCGATTAGAGAGTCTCGGAGCTTTTTTTCTGCTCCCCGAGTTCTATTCCTATAGAAAAACAATCTAGCTTTATATACGTGGGCGAAGTCTATAATTACAAGAGCGTACACGTAGATCGTTGACTGACGCACTAATCATCTCTCTCTCTTTCACTCCTGTCATCTTTTGTGATCATGCTTTTATAGATGAAGACCGCTTCTCCTCCCTCTATATAACCGTCTTGTTTACGAGCTTCACGTCACGCGCGCCAGTATCCGGCACGAGGAGAAATCGATATTACTCTACTTGCTAACGATTCATTATGTTACACGATACTCTCGTCTCCGCCAGAGAGGAGAGTACATTATGAAGAGTCATGCCGGCTCGATCGACCCGCGAACAATCTATGCGATATTCCTGTAATCTCGAGAGTGCCGGATGCATTATTGACTCTAGTGCCATCTCCGACTGGAGACGGACAGTTTGGAATTGCATTGATGATGCGCGCTCGATGCCCAATTGGCAAACGGTTTTCCGAAGCCTCTGGCTTCTGCGGCACATCGTTATTCGCGAACAAATCCGATAGCGAAATCCACTTTTGCCATATCACCGAAAAAAGTATTTTCCTCGAAAGCATTCTTTATATAAGTCCTCTTAATAGATGTTTTTAATGAATAAGAATATTTCCATCTTTGATGCCTTTTGGAATATCCTCTTTAATTAAAAATATATATTTCTTATTTTCTTTTTGTAACTTCAGCAATAAATATAAATATAATAAATTAATGATAAATTTAAAATTAATTAAATTAAATTATTTCAATTTATAATATATTTATAAATTTAGATTAATATTAAAAATTATATAATATATAAACAAAAATGTGTATTTAATTATGTCAATACATAAAAAATATTTAATTATGTGTAATATTTATATATATATGTAATAAATAACAAATGGACAATATCCCATTAAGTATAGATTCTTGCATGTTAAGAATATCTCTTTAGAGAATTTTTCTCTTAAATTGAAAGGATCCTTTTGGCGCCTATTTTAGTGGCATATATTTAAAATAAAAATACAATTTTTCCGATCATATAGTTTTGCACAGACGCGAAATGAATCTTTCGAGGTATAATTTTGAATCGACATCCGTAAATCGTACATTAATAACGCACGTTCGATAAAGGGAAAAAGCTCTCTCTGCCTTTCATCATCTCTGTCATTTCTGTCTGCGAGTGTGCACATACATACCCCTCTAATTATACTGAAGTCTCCGAATTTCTCTTTTAATTTCGCGTATTTAATTTCACCTTTCTCCGTTTTTCAAATGAAATTGTTAACGCTTGTAACATTTTGAATACATATAAAAAAAACCGTAAAAGCGTTTAGCTAGAAAAAGAATTGCTCCGCTTTTCACCGAAAATTTGTATTCGTGATATTTAAAATAATTTTTCTCTCCTCTCTCTCTCTCTCTCGTTCTTCTTCTGTCGCGACTCTTGCCAACTACTCTTACGACGATTGCGATTTTTTTTATGGAAGGTGCTTTAATCGGTTCGATGATTTAGACAAGAGTGCACTTACCGTCTTGATACGGGCCGTCGTGGCAGAGTTCCATGATGGCCTTGTTGGTGCCGGTGTAGAGCGAGTTGAAGTGCTCCCTCTGTTTCTCCTTCATGCAATTGATCGTGTACCTCGTGATGCATTTCATACCGGCCTCGAGATCGCTGCAAACGAAAACAGGAAACCGATCCTGGTTATTATATCAGATATTTATTGCATTTGAGACGGTGAAGATAAAAATCTGCCAATCTAATAGCAGGGTTAATTTTCGCGAATGGAAAATTGCAATTGCGTAAGACGTAATAAACGCACATCGAGAATTCTGGCGTCTATATATATATATATTTATATATATATATATATATATATATATATATATATATATATATATACGTTCGAGCTTTTGGCGCAGGAATAACTTTATTGGGCAACGTGAACGGAATGCCTGCCAATTGAAACGGAAGGGTAATTATACTTGTGTTTGAAAGTATTTCGAAAATTGTTTATTACTTTTATTTGTTTTATATTGTTATTTATATATACATTTTTTATATGGAATTGCATTAATCGGAATAGAGAGATTAAATTATCAATTTTGGCAAAAATGCATGGCCTCCAAAAATATCGTGTTTGTTTATAATCGTTTCTGTGAGATGTATGAAAAATAATTTTGCCAGAGGGTTTTTTCTCTGTTAAACCAAAATTTCTTTCGGAAGATATTTTTTATTTCCCTTTAGTGAAAATAAAATAATAATAATAGGTATAGTTTTTTGTTTTTATATTAAATTATGCTTTTAATTCTCTGATTGGCAAAATATTGTGATAATTTTTATTGTAAAGATTTTCAATGATATATAAATTTGAAAAAACGCGAATGTATATTAAAAACGATATCTGCTTTCCGAAATGCACTTGAGCGTTACGCATTTCTTCCGATTCAATTGATACGAGATTCAAAGACTATCCGATATATTATATACACGTATATACGCATACAATCTCTCTCTCTCTCTCTCTCTCTCTCTCTCTCTCTCTCTCGAATCTATTATTGAACCGCGAGAAACAGAAGCCGGGTCGCGTCTCGCGAGACGAGCCTCTCTCTCTCTCTCTCGTCAGTTGCATCCCCATTATAAATATGACATCACAAACGTTAGATTGACTCTCAGGATCCATCTGAACCGTATCGCCCATCAAGATTGTTCTCAGCCGAGTTTCTACGACAACTATAAATATACGAGTCAATATTACTGTATCTGTCGAATAAGAAGACACGAGGACACAAGAGAGAAAAAATCGATATTTGCGCGATGTGTAAGAGTGCATGTAAAAGAATTCCATCCGTTCCGAATCGACTTAGTATGCAGGCGAGTATCTTGAAAATTGATTATGCAAATCGTCCAATTTGCACCGGTGTCATCCGTCGTTTCGGGAAACAAAATACCGCGCGGTTTCCGCCATTTCTGATATAGAATATCCTGCTGGTATATAGTTACGGTATTACTATAATTGCACGTGGAAATTGATGATGATTGCGCGGAATGCGAGGTATCGTGATTAATAATTTGTCGTATCGGACGTATCCGAGCGAGGCGTAGGCTTGCATGAAATTTAAAGTTCCATGAAACGGAGGCGAATTTCCTCCAGGCCCAGGCTAACAAATTGCTAAAGCGTAATAAGATTCCACGCCGAATTCGCGGGGGTTCTCCGAAAATATCGTACAAAATATACCGGCGGCTCTCCTGCATGCAATCATCCACTCAATTACATACGTACCATCTCGCGCGAGCGCGAGACAGAGAGGGAGATATATGTATATATAGATTCGAACTGATCGAGCGCCTCCGAGTTGCGATAAAGCTGGAGCATCGACTCTGATACGATCGCGATTTCGGACCGAATATAATAGACCGAAAGCCGCGGACGCGGAATGTCGGATATTATTCCCCGGCCAATTTCCAATTTCGCCAAGAGCCCCTCTACTTTAGCCTTACGTTCACACGAACCGGTACGTTTGCGTACGAAACGATTTTTCTCCTCTCTCTCTCTCTCTTCAAGAATCCGCAGCGGGATGATTAATGTTTTTATATATATGCATAAATGCGGATAAATGTAAATGTGAAAAATGATATGGGTATAAAATCGCCAAACCCAGTAAACAATTTTTTATATATAATTATATACAAATAATTATATAATTATACATATATAATCGTAAAATTATATATGAAATATGTTCATTTTTATACATAATTATATAAATTTATATATAAATTATAAGGGATCATATATAATCATGTCAAAATATATATATATATATATATATATGAAGAAATATTTATTATATATAAATTTATATAATTTTATATTTGTTATATAAAAATTTTTTTACTATGGAAGACGCGACATAGACTCATGGGCGTCCGTAGAAGACAAGAAGGCAGAAGCGAGCATTTGCCCCCTTTGGTACCTATCATTAAAAAAATTATTTTGCATTTAATATACAAAAAATTAAATTTAAAAAATTAAGAAAGAACAAGAAATGAGAAAAAAATTCAATCGTGCTCCCTCCTTGAAAAAAAAATCCTGCGGACGCCCATGGAGAGACGCTTCTATACCTTCTCGCAATTAATCACGGTTAAGGTCCCGAGAATTCCGCGGCAATTTTAAAATTGATCCGAGAACTCGAGGGAACTCGAAACAATAAGAAACGACCGGGCATTTTTCTTGCGGCGACGGAAAATTTGCGACGAAGACGTCAAAAGCATATAAGGGAAAGAAAGATCGTTGTCCCGGAAAACTCTTCGGGGGCAGCGTATCGCGTTCTCGCCCCTTCATGGAAGATGTAAAGAAGCGGGACAGATAACGCGACGTTTTCGCGCTCGAACGAGATCGGTCCCACGCGCGAGTCGGAATAGAATAGAAGGGAAAACTCACGGGCACAGTTTGTTGAGCTCCTCCTTTTTCGTTACGACGAGACTCAGGTCGTTGCTGCTGATTTTCTCAAGGGGCCTGGCGCACCTCACCAGCTCCTCGTGTCCGCACTCTTCACCTCGGCAGCTAGCGAGCACTGAAACAGAAGCGCGATAATCGGGTTAGCCGAAAGCAGAGAGAGAGAGAGAGAGGTAGGAAGAGAAAGAGAAACGACGTGGTCGAAACGTAAGGTACGACGAGAATCCCTCGATGCAACTCCCAACCCATCGATAACAACGTTATTAGTAAGGGAATCGCAAAGAGCAACGCTGCTCCTCGAATTCGATTAAGCGCGCGCGCGGAATCGATGTTGCCGTCACCGTGTTGCGGTGTGATTGCAGCGGAAATATCAAACAAGTTTAATTGACGTGGAAACAATGCAGATTGCACCCGGAACTTCATACTCGGACGGATACCGCTCTCTCCCATTTTCATGAAATTGTCGTGTCGCGGGACCGAATCGTCGTATATACATATATATATATATATATATATATATATATATATATGTGTGTGTATGTATATGTATGCACACGCCTGTCCACCGAGACGTTGTTATTTCGTCGAAAGAAGAGCCGGCATATTATACTTTTTTTTCTCGTTATTAGAGGAGAAAGAACCGTTTTCATGCACGGAGAAAATTTTCTCTTATACAATTTACCCTATGAAAATCATGGTAATCGTGGGACAATATGGTATTGAAAGAACTTTGAACTTTTCTGATTGATATTTATCACAAATAATACTTTTTACCATGTATATATTATTTTTGATTGTGATACCATAAATTGCAAGAATTTTGTAAGATTTCTCTGATTCATCACAATAAAAAATATTAATATCTATACCACAGTAAGACATAACATATGTCCGATTAATTTTACTATGTACATATATTGATATTTTTTGTCGTAAATATTAATGCGAGAAACTCTTCCAAAAATTCTTCCAATATCATATCGCCCCATGATTTTCAGGGTAAATTCTAAGAGATAATTTTCTTCGTCCCACTTATGGAATAAAAATTTCGAAATAGCCAACTTGCGCTTCGACTTTTGACGCGAGAAAAGAACGAGCGAGAGATTTCCTCTTTCACCGGCAATAAATTTTTTTCCAACGCTTAATTCGCTAAAATCTCGCGTTTATATATATTTTTCTCGACCGCCCCTTCCTTCCACCCCTTCTTTTATCTCCTCCGCATCTGTCCATCATCAAATTACGCGAGGCAGATTCGCCCGGATCTTTTGTATCTTGAATTTTGAAAATGAAATTACGATGTGGCGCTAACAGAGCATGCCCACACACGCACACATATATGAGATGCACTCGCGTGTGTGTGAGTATCGGTGGTCACACGCGAATTCGGGATGCAGGATAAAAAACACAGGAAATGCATTCGCCGTCCGGACTAATGATGACGAATGGCGCGCGATATTATCACGGCGTCATGTGCCGTTGGCGAAAAACCATTCGTTCATATTAGGAAGTTGATTTGGATTTAATGGAGGGGAGGGAGAGAGAGAGAGCATCGCGTTTGCCGTGCTTTTCCAACTTTTGGAAATTCATTACCAATTATGCCACGGTCTGCGAAACTTTATATATGTATGTATTATATATACACGTACATGCGCATACAATCGCGTAAAAATTCTCGTTTTAATTCCGGCGCAAGCTTTTTACGCGAATTTAAAGTCGATTTATCTGAAGAAAATGTACATTTTCGAGAGAGACGACAAATTTTTAAGCGATGTTAAATTGATATTGAATACATATATTTTTCGAGATAAATCTCGAAATTCGGTGGAATTCATTTTGAATATGAGAACAAATAGTTTGTTCTTCTAATTGCGATTCGTGAATGGAATTACAACCTCGAATACTATTGTTGTCTGAGATTTGAATTAGGTGAGACGCTAGACTCTAAATCGATCAAAGAATTTGTCACTAAATTAAAGCCGGAGATTCTAGGACATCTTATACAGGGTGTCCGGTAACTAACGGACCAATGATTTTTCCTTAGCAAAAATGTTGAGAAGTCAATAATTTTCGAGTTATAAGCGATTAAAAAAAAAATGGGTTTTTTGAAAACTAAAGGTTTTGGAGTTAAAAGTCTAACATAATTACATTCTTCAGTTAATTTCAGGTAGAGTTTACTATAATAAAATTTTAATTTAAGGCTTGGTTATAAAGATACATAATGACAAATATTGGAAAGTTGTAAAAAACGATGACCTTTTTCGACATTTTCGCTGAGGAAAAATCGTTCCCAAATTGACCAAAGAATCCACTTGTAATCGTTGGTCCGTTAGTTACCGGACACCCTGTATAAATACTCGAGGGGATAAAAGGAGCATCGTATCTCTGGCTTTTAAAGGGGCGAGAGCACGAATCTCGGGACATTTTGCCCTGAAATTATGAAGCACCTTCGCGCGCGAAAGAGAGAGATAGAACTTACTTCGTAATAAACAAGCCATTGTAAGGAAAGGGTGAGATGGGGAACAGGGTCAAGATCGACTTTTCTCTCGACACCGCCAAACGAACTTATAACTTCCGCTCGAAACCGATTACCCGGAAGTGCCACTTTCCAGGTAATAAACGAGAACTACCAATATAGGACCGCTTCGCTCTTCTTCATCCCTCTCTTGCACCAATTTTCTCCCTTCTCCCTTATCCATCTCCCTTTCCTATGTTTGCTCTAGTATAGAATTTCTGTGTACGCGCGATAATAGGAAAGTGACGTTACATTTCGCCGTCTCGTGAGATGAAAAGTCTAAACTGGATAAACGAGCCATATAATTAAAGCCAAGAAGCGTTCCAATTTCTCTCCCTCCTTCTCGTTTGTATATTATGCATCTCCCAGAAGGTATATTCGAGCTATCGAAATGTTTTATGCAAAAGATCTCATTTGATTGTTTTTTTTTTTTTTTTTTAAACATTGACGCAAAAGAAAGAGAGAGAAAAAAGCAGAAATTAAAACGAAGCAATATCGGTACAAAAAAGAAATTTATACGGATTAGCAATTTGCACGGCTGGCTTTTTCCGTATAAAGAGAATCTTATAAAACTTTTGCGCCAACACTTTTTCGCACAAAAATTCTCGGACTACTGACTCGGCGCTTTTAGAGAGATTGAGCTTTCGATATATCTCGGAAAAGGATTACTCGCTCGTATATAATAGCGTATCAAATAATCTTTGTGATCCACGCATTGTGTTTGGAAACGTGGGATACGTCGGGATAAACATTGCAAATTAATGTTTGTAACCGCTGATGCTACATCGTTACCAAGACGAGATTGTTAAAGCACAACAACGGTAAACAACATCGCGAATCTCGTCATATTTGAAGAGAGGAATCGTGTATTTCTCTTTTATTGAAATTTGCCATTTATTTCAACACAACAAATTAGGCTCGTGAAAAAATCTATAACGATAATTCAGAGATACCAAATATATAATTTGCATATATTTCTATGATAAATCAATTAAACGTTAAATCATGAAATCCTTAAATATTTTGTCAACAACGAAAAAGTTCGAAAGTTAAAAAAACAAAAATTTTAATCAATTATACAATCTGCATTATGTATACGATAATCGAAACAAACAAAATATATTGAAATAAAATAACACGACGATGAAAATATAAATTAACGAACACACTGTAGATGAATCGATTTTTAACAACTCAAAAAATTAGCGTGCTGGAAGTCGAGGAAAAGTATATATTTATTTAATAAAAAATGTCAAATTATTGAGACAAATGTAGAATAATATGAAAAATCCAAAGATAAATAGTAAAATTTCCTGACTTTTTTTCTCTGACAATGCCCGGTTTTCCAGATTTCCCTGACCGCTGGACACCCTGTATAAATAAAAACAACATAAATCCTTACAGTCCCGGGACAAATTGTCCCGTTTAGACTCGAAGGAATCGAAGGGTTCTCCAAAGTATGAGGGAACGAAATTTGTCTCTCATATAACCCCGGGAAGATTCATGTCTCCCGTTTATTGTTTCGCGCGCGAACTCGCAAGTTTCTTCGCTGAACTCCGGTCAGAAAAAAAAGAGGAGTGAGAAAAATTAGACAGAGAGGCGGAAAATGTGCGTGGGAGGGCCAAAAGCGCGAATATTTGGGTATGCGACGCACGCAACGCGACCGCACCAGCGTCGATTCGGCGATGCGTGCAACAAACTAGGCGAGCGGCAAATCCCTCGTGCGGCGCCATTAAATTTAATTACAAACTATCGAAATTATCGAGAGAGCCACCGCATCCCCGTCGCGGATCGGCGACTCTCTCGTTCGGTAACGACCGAACGGTTCGACGAGCCGTCCGCGAAACTGCCCCTTTTCTCCCCTTCCAACCCTCCACACATATATATATATATATGTGTATAGCGCCGATGCAATCGTTTTGTAAAACGAGCGCAACAATGGGACGACGGACGCCGTCTGCCCGCGATAAATCTATAAAATCTGTCCCCTTCGATGATTAATAAATAGCGCGGTTTTGTATATGCGATTTGTAGAGGACGATTTATAGAGTGTGCGGTCGTCGATTTTAACTATACGTGCCGATAGTCAAATGCTGAAAAGTGTGTCCCCGTTTTTTTTCTGCAAATATCACCCTCCACATTACACACAGTATAATTTTTTTTTATATAAATAGAGAAAATATATAAAAATTATATCAATGTAAATTTTATCAATCAAATATACATATGTATGTATACGATATCGATAAATAATAAAATGTTTTAAATCTGAAAAAAAAAAGCATACAACTCTGTCCAAGCGATACTTGTCGAAATCAATTTTACGAAAAAAAAGTGAATATCCTTTCTCGCGAGATGGTCATCCCTAGTGACACGATATGATATATCGCAACCTATTTTCCCGTTACCGATCACTCGTGTGTTTCGTTCTTCTTTTGCTTTCTCTGCTCGGCTAAGATATCACTTGTGACAAGAGGATACCCGACTTATACGTGCAGAATATAAGAGTTCCGTGTATAATTCTATCCCGCACCTGCGATTCTCTCACCGCAAAAGAACGAGAGAAATAAGGCGAATCATTATAAATATATCCAGAGAATTATAGT